GCCACTTCCGGTTTTCTGGTGGTTTATTGGAGATAGGAGTCTCACGGTCTTTCCTGCCCGGGCTGGCTTTGAACCGCGATCCTCAGATCTCAGCCTCCTGAGTAGCTAGGATTATAGGTGTGAGCCACTTATTATCACTTTTATTTCATTGTAGTGACTATTATTCTCATGGACCAAGTGACATTTTCCAGCCTGTCGTCTGACATTGTTCAGTCTGAGGTCCCCAAATGTTACCCAGAGGGTGTGAGGTCTGTCACTGGATAGTAGCTATATCTGGAGTTCATATTATGGAAAGATTGAAGCACTGAGTCTACAATTGTACAAGACTGTATAAGGTCTCTGGCAATCTTTGTGACTTAGTAGAATCATCAGGTCGAAAGACTGTATCTGTATTTTCCATTGCCTTTTCTCCAGGACGTCTTGGAGTCAGAATTTGCATATGTATAGTTTAAGATTCTGCACACCTAGCTACCTTTCCTTCAGAGGCCAGCGCAGTCAGCACCCCTTCCAGGATGTATTCTCTACCCCTTCCCTGATGCCAGCTTAAACACCCACATCACCCCTCCTTCCCTGCCTGTGATATTTCTCCCAGGACCCCCACCCCCCGCATTCCTCGCCTAAAACTTCAGCAACAAGTGACTGAGTCTGAGGTGGCTTCAACAACACATACTTACTGTTTGGAAGCTTGATACTTGGAATCAAGATGCTGGCAAGATGGGGATCTTCCACAGTGCTACGGAAGAAACATTTCTCACTCCTTCTCTCCTCCTCGCGCCTGACAGTTGTCTACTGTCCTCTCCTTCTGTTGATGTCTGCCACTCACTTTGTCTTCACACATTCCTCTCCCATGTCTTTATCCATGTGCTTTGTCTCTCCTTGCAGGGGGCATCGGCTGTATGAGATTTAGGGTCCCTCCTAATTTGCATGACTTCCTCTTACTTTTAAGTCATGGCATCTTCAAGGATGCTATCTGTAAATGGTACATTCATAAATGCAAGGAACAAACCAAGCTACGACATCTCCCAATGCCCCATGCTCAGGGGACTGTGGATTGTTTGAAGGCTGGGTGTGTTTAGTTATGTCTGCTGTGGATCATGCTCTATTCTGGACAATTATGGTAAGGCACAGTCAGGACCCTTACACGTGAACATTAAAAGACTGTCCATTCAAGGTTGAATATATCTGTGCACACTTACATTCATGTGTAGATAGTCTATGTTTGATGGAGTATTAAGCAGAAAAATAAAGCACAATGGTAACTTATTTCATCTCACCAGGTATGTGAACCGGAGTCCAAGCTTTGGTCTTTGATAAAACTCTCTTCTATTTTTTTTTGAATTTTATTCTCAGTTAGCACCAGAGAGAGAGAGAGAGAGAGAGAGAGAGAGAGAGAGAGAGAGAGAGCAGTCCTTCAAGTAATTACTTCTGGCTATCACAAATTAAAGTTTGGAAAGTATGTTCCTAATTTCTAATTAAGCCCAAGCGTGTACGTCAGCAGGAATCCATGTGCTGTGTTTTCTTTCTAGGGTAGCGTCAGCAACCCCCAGCCTCCGTTCTCCCAGATGCCAGGTGAGTTCTTCCACTCCATGAACAACAAACTCTCCTCTGACCTTTCACGGAGCATTTGCATTTCCTTGTCCTTTCTTTCTTTCTTTTTTCTTTTCTTCTCGATGCTGGAGGTAGACTCCAACCTGGAAAATGCCAGGCAAGCACTCTGCCACTGAGCTACACGCCCTGCCAAGCACTTCCATGTTTGTTGAACAGCCTGACGCCACTTCCCCTTTTTTAAAATAGCTACCTTTAGATTACGAAATCAGGAACGAGAGACCTCATCCACCATCTCTGAGTTTACAATTCATTACGTCTTGAAGGCAGGCTTTTTGTCCCCTGCCCGAGGGAAGGCTCCATGACACAGTGAAGCAAAGGCAGCAGCAATTCGTCCTTTGGTATGGTTTCCAGATGCTGAGGACTCTCCCTCCATGATCTGATAAGCAACAGGGACTTTTCTGCCCAGCCTGGCTTCAAACCCTGATCATCAGATCTCAGCCTCCTGAGTAGCTAGGATTAGAGGTGTGAGCCACCAGCTCTGGCAGGAACATTTTCAATATAGTGTTGAGCGCCCTCTCCCTCTTCCTCCCCTTCTCCCTCCCTCCCAGATCTCAAAACTGAAGAAGGCTTTCATACCTGCAGCGCTGCAGAAGGAAAAAGGATGCAAGCCACAGAGGATCCCATGTGTGGGAATGTCTGTGTTGACTTTCCTTATTCCCAATCAGATTTGCCGTCATTGGACCTTGATTGCCTCTGCTCTCTTCTTCAAATGACATTTGTGTCATTCTCTTTCCATCTAGAATCCCTCTTTCTCTTTGTTAAGGAGGAGAAGAGAATGCTTAAGGGAGCAGAGAGGATATTTTTAAATCTCCATGAGTGTTTTGGTTGGGAACCTGGAAATACGAATGACAGGCTAAACATATTGTTTATATAGCCCTCATCCTGATCTCAGCCTTCACCTTACCTCTGGATACAAATTTGTGACAAGTCCCCAAGTCTCATTTGTTGATACTAACTTACTGATAATAACATTTTGCACAGATTTCCCCCTCCCCGAGGGAAGTATGCTTATAATTAAAATTCTAACCACCACCTTCAAATGTGTGAACAGATTGGAAGTTTGGGGGTACAGAATTTAAATTGAGAGTGGAGTGTGTAGAATCGTGCTAAAGGTTTATCATGGGGAATTTTGAAAGCTGCTTCTGAATGAATAAATTTACATATAATATCAGATACAATATTATCTACTGAGTTGGCAATGTACAAGGTAGGAGCTTTGCCACTAGGAAGCTTGCAGGTAGATGGAGAGAGAATAATGAGTGTAATAGAAAATTGCACACTGTGTAGGAGCCAAGTGCTCCGTGTGCAGACTCGTGTATGACTGAGCCATGATAGAAAAGGGGAAAGGTCTCCACCCGTTCGGCTTGGGTAGGCAGGGTCAAGCTCAGAAGACCTCCACCGCTGAAGGGGGAAGGTCAGGGAAACAAGTCCATAAATCTCCTCAACTCAGCTTTTGACACCTCAGGATGTTGGCATGGGTATTAGATCACATCTACCCACGTCTGAAATACTTAAATGGGGCCTCAAACATGTTCTAAATAATATCCTTCCAAGCTGGGTGGCAGTGGCTCGTGCCTGTAATCCTAGCTACTCAGGAGTTTGAGATCTGAGGATCACGGTTCAAAGCCAGCCCGGGCAGGAAAGTCTGTGAGACTCTTATCTCCAATAAACCACTAAAAAACCAGACCCGGTGCTATGGCTCAAGCAGTAGAGCACTCATCTTGAGCTGAAGAGCACAGGACAGCGCCCAAGCCCAGAGTTCAAGCCCTACAACCGACAAACAATAATAACAACAACAACAATAATAATAATAAAATATCCTTCCCAACTGCTTAGCATACACATTTCTTCTGGAACCATTTCTTTATACATATCTTTTGTTCTCATTTTAATTAGCATTTATAATATACATCTTACATGTTATATATTATATATCATATATATCCCATTTATATTATATAATATATAACACATATATGATATCTATAATTATATATCTAATAGATATGTGATATGCATTATATATATTAACTAGATCATATTATATATCATATATATTAGTTGTAGACCTGGACTTCTCTGTGACATTTCCACATTTGCCTCCCCCAAGGGTAATTATGTAGCAAGCCCTGTCTACCTAAATGTTGAAGTACCCTGGGGGAGGGGGAGCTTGAGCAAGAGATTCAACATGGCCACAAGAGGGCAGCAAATAACACCAGACTCAGCAAAGCCAGAGAACGGTTTTTGAAGTCCTAAACTACCTTATCTACAGCTGTATTATCCCAAAATAATACATGCATTGATGCCTGCTAGGTACAAGACACCCCATGTTAAAGATCCATACAGCCAGGCACTAGCGGTCTCTGCCTATAATCCCCAATACTTAGGAGGCTGTGATCTGAGAATCACAAGTGATTCTTACTTCCAACCATAAAAAGCCAAAGTGGAGCTGTGGCTCAAGTAGTAGAGCGTTAGCCTTGAACACAAAAGCTCAGGGACAAGACTCAGGCCTAGCGTTCAAGCCCCAGGACTAGTTTAAATCTTTTTTTTTAAATCCATACAGTATCCTTGCTAAAGGACAATCTGCAGAAGAATTAGAAAACAGAACACACCCTGCTTCTGATTTCAGGCAGTGATAAATATGATCTAAAGATAAAGTATTTCATGTAACAAGTCAGGAGCAGCGTCTTGTGAACAGTCCTGTGTATTGTACTGACAGAGCTAAGAAGCTAAGCAAAGATGTTTTTCTATATGTGTTTTTCTATGTATGTGTGTGCTTATTTATTTATATATTCCAAGGGATTCTTTGGCTTAACTCTTTCAGCCCATCCCCTTGCTAGCAAAGTGTCTTAGCATCTAAAGAGCACATGAAATGTCTGTCTGGCAGCTGAGTAAATGAACAGTGACTATAATATTTAAATGGAACTCATCTCTAAAGGCAAAGTTAACTTGAAATGTATCCATTATTTGGACCTGGAACAGTTAAAAGAGGCAATGTAGCAGGGTGCTGGTAGCTTATGCTTGTAATCATAGCTACTTAGAAGGCTGAGATCAAAGAATTATGGGTTCAAAATCAGCCCAGTAGGAAGGTCCATTAGATTCTGATTTCCCCAAAAAAGTCAGAAACAGGGCTGTGGCTGAAGTGGTAGAGCACTATAGCATTAAGGGGGGGAAAGCATAAGGATAGTGCCCAGGCCCTGAGTCCAAGCTCCCAGGGACAACATAGATTATACCCTGTTTTCCAGACATCGGTCTATTTCTGTGTTAACATCAGTGTCAACATCAGGCACTTGTTACTAACATGGCACAGGACAAGCAGCAGGGAAGCTCTGACCTTCCTGGGAAGAAACTGTTGTCCATTTGGTTTTCATTTGACTACAGGTTCACCCGTCATGTCAGGTTACTATGGTGTCCGGAGATCGTTCTTGTCTGACTCAGACTTCCACAGCACGAAGCCCTTCTCCAATGACATCTACACCTCCAGCGTGGCAAAGTCCTTTCCCTGCGAGTCCTCAGTGGGGCAAAGCCACTCGGCGCTGCTGGAGTCCTACCTGGCAGAGCCCTATGGAGACCATCGCCCCCCAGCACTGACCCCGACCCCGGGCTCCCTGTTCAGCGCCTCACCCCTGCCGCCGCTCCTGCCGCCTCCCTTCACTGGTGACCCCACTTCTTTTGTGTTTGTGAGTATTCTTATTTCACATGTAGGGAATACGGGGAGGTCAGAGGTCCCATGGACCTGGCCCTACCCCTGGGTCTTGGTGATAGATTGAGTGAGGTCAAATCAGGCTCACATGGAGTCCAGACTTGGTGACTGGAGGTTCGTCTAGCACCAGAGGTACCAGGGCATGCCAGCTCTGCCAGGGTATCTTTTGAGGGAGTCTTGCTCAAAAGTCCACGTTAGCCACAACAGCAAGAGTGTCTAGTGATGAGCCACAAAAAAATGTAAGATAGAATTTACAGCCACTCTCTTAAATGCAAGTCCCCTCATTCCTCAGCCTAGAGGGAAGGTATGTATGCTGCTGCTACCTCTGGACCAGCGAGGTAATGGCCCATAGTCCACACATTCGGGTTCTCCTATTTCTTCCACTACGACCACCATCTTCGTCTTGCTTCCAACAATTCTGCCGGCCGGAACTTTGTTTTCTTTGAGCCTCCCAAAAATATCAGTTCAAAAAGTCTGAAGGATCCTAGTGCTGTTCTTAGGAGAAAACTGGAAATCCTCTTACCACAAAGGAATGAATCTCTATAAAGGTGGAATTCTAGACCAAAGGGAGGCAGGGTAGGAGTGAGAATTAACATTATTGAGTATCTACTCTATGCCAGGAAGTGTTCAGTGCCTCTGTTCCCTTCATGCTTGTAGTAATTCAGGAAATGCTTCCAGAAGCTCCATTTTACAGAACAGCAAAATGAAGGGCTCAGAGTCTGGAGGGCACCGGTGGCCCAACTACACATGAGCCCAGGTCACCAAAGAGCAAGTCAAGGAGACAGCTACCAACACACCCCTCTGCTCACCTCCAACAGACTGGCCCTCTCCAGCCAAAACGGGACCTGAAACTAACTTTCCTTAATTGGTAAAAACTAAGCTGGGACCTGGAATCCTAGGAGACCACAAAAGAAAGCAAAACAGTAAAATAGTCCATGTTGATTCTGTTTTCTTAACCTCACATTTTACTCCTTTCATGTTATTTTTCTGGGAATTCGTATATAGATACATATATACGTATATATACACATATATGTATCTATGTATATGCATATGTATGTACATATGTGTATATATGTACATATAATTGATACATTTATATATATATGTGTGTGTATATATATATAATCCCAGAGTAGAGAGGAACCAAAACCTTCCTTGCTAGTGGGAGATGCCTGCGGGTTGGTGGGCTTCATCAGCAAGGAGGGGAGGGGGCATCGTGCATTTGCAGAGCCTCACCCAGTGAATAACCCAGTGACTTGCTCCTTTCCTCAGAGGGACTCATGGGAGCAGACCGTGCCTGATGTTCTCAGCCAGCCCGACCCCGCCGACGCTCTGCAAGCCTTGCCTCCCAGCTCCGGCTGCCTCACCCAGCTGGAGTCGGGTAGCAGCGTCCCGCAGCAGCACAGGAGCTCGGGCTGGGGGTCCTCTCTGGCTGGCACTCAGCCCTACTCACTCCACACACTGGAAGATCTGCACCACACACCGGGGTACCCCACTCCACCTCCGTACCCCTTCACCCCTTTCATGACAGTATCCAACGACCTACAGCCCAAGGCTGATGAGGAGTCAGACACCTCTTCTCTCCATGACCCCTCACCTTGGACAAAAGAAGATGGGAGCCTGGCCTGGGGGTCCTATGAATGCCGCCGAGCCTACTGAGGGGGTGGATGCAAGCAAGGACTTCCGGGCTCTTCTTTAACTGGTTTAGGTATGCCAACTCATCTGGAATTGCATTTCTGTAGAAGCCATGATACCACCCTTTGTTAATGGACAATGGCATTGATTTCTGATCTTACCCACCTCGACCCCTCTGAAACACACCACAACATTCATGATGTATGTCAGGGACAAATGTTGAAGTGAGAGAGACTCTGAAGGCCAGGGCCCGGTGAGGCCTTGCTCATTCAGAATCTCCTGTTCTCTTGCAAGTATCATTTAGGGGCACTGATTTTTTTATTCTTAAATTCCATTAAAACTTTTGTGCAGATCAGAAAACATAGTGGTTTTCCTGTCTGATTTTTCTTCATCATAAACTATGTGTCTTCTTCAGTAACAAAGAATGGAGACGGTATAGTAAGTTGGGGCACATAAAACTCATTTGACTGTTACTTTAAAGAGTGAAGTGTTAACATACATTTCCCTCATTACAGAGACCTACAAATAAATACAGCACTACATGTAAATGCTTTATTGTCAATAAAACAGGAAGGTGTCAGGAAAGTGTGGGTTTTTTTAAAATACAATGGTTTTAGCTCTGGCTTAAGCTCAAGATATCCAAAAGATTAGTCCAATTAAAAAAGTCACAACTTTTCCTTCATTAAACTAAATATTCTCTCTTCTCTCTCCCTCCCCTCTCTCCATTCCCGCTCTCCCTTCCCCCCTCCCTCTCTTTCTCTCTGTCTCTGTTTCTCTGTCTCTGTCTCTCTCTGTCTCTCTGTCTCTGTCTCTCTCTCTCTCTGTTGAAATATTACTCCATATACCAGAGTGGCTGGATAAAATGGGTATTTGGTACTCATACAAAGACTAAACCATTGGCAAGCAACAGTCTACAGGATATCAAGAAGCCAAGGGGCTTTGGGGAACAAATTATCAAGTGTGACTCAGCCACATTCTATCCAGCATCTCCTGACTGTGTGAAGGAAGATCTTCATGGTTTATTGATGAGAGGTGTATAGCTCTCGAACATTATTCTACCTCATTCAAGTTTGATTAGGGTAGTTTCCTCTGCCAGATCAAGGCTAATCGCCACCAAGCCATGCACCTGTCTACAAGGTCATACTGCCATAAATGCCTTGAGCACAACTGACTTAGCAGATGCACCAGTTTACCTGTACCTTTCCTCCTCTCTTCCCCATACTACCTTCTCTTTACTTCCTTCCCACACCTTTCTGACCCCTCTGATCCCTTCTAGCCATCTTCTGGAAGCCATCTGTTGCCCAAGGCCTGCCAATATCATCTCAATCCTATCCTCTGTTAGTGCCTTCTACCTTACCTCAGCTAGGTAGCTGTCCAGGAATTCAAAGCAAGAAGTTAATTCCACCCACTTAGATGTGAATCATAGATACTTTTCCTTCTCCAGCCTCTGAAGGTACTTCCCGCTTTAGCAAATGCTTTCCTAAGGTGTAGGGTACCTGTAGAAATGCTCTGGTAGAAAGCCTTCCTTCATCTCACACCTGAAGCTCCTTCCTGGGAGAGTGGTCCTGGGAAAGGAGAGGAAGAATGAGTGTTTGGCCGCTAGGTGGCGCTCTTTCAGGTCCCCTGTCCAACCTCCTCCCAACAGCTCCTTTATGGCACCCTGGCATATACATACATATATATTTTTTTTTCTCTTGAACTCCATTGTTAACTGTCAGTTGGCATGCAATCATTGTGCAGATTTATGGAGGGGGCACAGGTCATGTTGTGACATAGGCATGCATTATCTAATGATCAAATCAGAGCAATCAACATATCTATCACCTCAAACATCTATTGTTCCTTGGTAGTGAAACATTAACAATCCTCTCACTGGGCCTTGGTGGCTCACACCTGTAATACTAGCTACTCAGGAGGCTGAGATCTGAGGATCATGGTTCAAAGCCAGCCCAGGCAGGAAAGTCCGTGAGACTCTTATCTAATAAACCATTAGAAAACTGGAAGTGGCATGTGGCTCAAGCTGTAGAGCGCTAGCCTTGAGCTGAAGAGCACAGGGACAGCACCCAGGCCCAGAGTTCAAGCCTCATGATGGACAAAAAAAAAAAGCAAAACAATCCTTTCTTTAATTATTATAATTTTTAAAGTAAAGGAAAATATCCTCTTCCACCTTTATGGGACCATATAATACATTATCCATGAATTTAATCATCCTACTGTGAAGTAGAGCACGAAAACATTCTTTCCAGATGTAACGTGGTACCCGGCTGACCACTTTCTCCCATCCCACCCCCGCTCCACCCCCTCAGCCTCAATACCATCTTCCATTTCTATGATATCAACATTTTTAGATTCCACACATGAGATCGTGTAATATTTGTCTTTCTGCAACTGGCTTGTTTCACTCAGCATTTGTCATCTAGATTCACCCACATTGTCACTGATGACAGAATTTTATCTCTTCTCCTGGTGGAATCGTGTTACATTGTATACTCACAGACCACTTTTTGTTTATTCAATTATCCATTGATACAGGTTCATTCTGTATCTTGCCTCTTGTGAATACTGCTGCAATAAACGTGCCAGGGTAGATATCTCTTCATATTATGGAGATTCTTTATTTTCCAAAGGAAAAAAGAATTTGAGACAAAACTGATCTAGCAAATCCACCACTGGGAAATATTCTCCTTAGTATTTTTCCCTACAACGAAAGGTGACATCTCATATGGGGGAACTTTGTGCCTGCTCAGCAAATGTTCTACCACTTCAGCCATCGCTGCAGCCCTTTTGGCTTTAGGTTATTTTTTTCTTTTTCAGACAAGGTCTTGCACTTGGCCTCCAACCTCAACCCTCCTATCTCTGCCTCCTGCATAGCAGATATGTTCGCCACCATGCCCCCCCCCTTGTTCCTTGAGATACAGTTTCACTAATTATTTTGCCCAGGCTGACTTTAAACCACCATCATCCTGTTTCCACCTCGCAAGAAGCACTGTCCTGTCTTCAATCCCGATTCCCCAGTATCTGGATCAGAACCATCTGTCACCCAGCAACTGCTCAGATCTGTGCAGCAGCCTCTGCATCAGAAAGAAGGAACATGGCCCTCTGCAGATCAGAATCTGAGGTCTGAGGGCCCCAGAGTTACTTCTCCAGATTGTGTATATTTCATAATAACTACAGTCATCTGCTACTCACCATTGGTTACTAAGTAGCAACAGCATGATCATGTTGGTGTAAATAACATCAATGCGCCCACATAAGCTTCAATGTTGCTTATAATACGAACTAGAAGGTACACATATCTCATGAACTCTGCATTTATCTACTCATATATTATGTTCGTGCATCTCAAAACAACACAGATGTTTGGTTTTCAGCTAGCAGGGTCAAGTAAATTGGCCTTGGAAATACATGGATTGCAACAGTGTCTACATCCATTTTAAAGCAGCAAACCCCTTTTGCAGTGTTTGACAAGATAGAGAGAGAGACAGAGATGTGTGGCATTCACACGCCAGTACGCCATTGAACATCTATTTCATCCATATACCCTAAAAAGGGCTCAAAGGAGCAGGTCTGTTGCTGAAAAATTCCAAGTTGTAAATTACTTTTTAAAAGAATTTTGCTTAGCTTGACAATGTGTTGCTACATTTCCTATATATTTTATTTGGGTCCTATTTTATTGTTCTGGAAATAGGTTATTACAAAATGAAAACGAGCCACCAAATGATGACCTGAAAATTAATTACATTTCCCTATCTTATTTCCTATTCAAGTACTTCCCAGTATTCTACTGCATGTGGGGACCAACCATACCGTTCATGCACATGGGAAAAATGTCCTCCTCTCTCTCCTTCTGTCCTTCCTTCCTTCTTTGCTTCCTTCCTTGCTTCCTTGCTTCCTTCTTTCTTTCCTTCCTTCCTTCCCTCCCTTCCTTCTTTCCTTTTCTTCCTTCTTTCCTTTCTTGAACCTTCCATTCTCTGACTCCCAGTTTTCCTTGGAGAGCTAAAGGAAATGAAGGTTCAAAATTCCATCTCCCAAGATACTAGATGCATTTAAGGTTTGAAGTAATCAGATATAGTGATGTCAAGTTCAAACTACTTACAAAAGTGGACTTAGATGAGAAAGTCAGATTTGCCCAAGTAAAAGCTTCAATCTAGACAATCAGCCCATAAATCACTGAAAATAGACAGCACATGTAGTTGGGAGTGTTTGTATTTCTCTTACAGGTTATTCAAATGTCAAATAATGAGAGAAGAAAACCACCTCTTTACCTTGTTTATTTAACAAATGCTGTTCAATGATCTTTATGACTTACCACAGTTCAGTTAATAACACAATTGTGGGAGAGGAAGAAGACTGAAGTAATCTAAAAGGAGATCCACATGGGAAAAAATTACTAACCCCAGCAGTAAATATATATATATATATATATATATATATATATATATCACATACATATCTACAGACACACACACATACACAGAGAACCACTATGACCTATTTTTTATATCACATACATATCTACAGACACACACACATACACAGAGAACCACTATGACCTATTTTTTCAGCAGGTAAACAATATAGCCACAAGAGAAAAACAGTTAAAGTTCTGAAATAACAAATGCATGATAGTGATTCTATGCAGCAGATGCCAAAATTACTTTTCATTCAATCACTAAGTTCTACTAAAATCTCCTCTCTTTTCAAATCAATATTACAGCCAGGCACTGGTGGCTTATGCCTGTAACACTGGCTAATCAAAAGGCTGAGATTTGAGGATCACAGTTCAAAGCCAGCCCAGGCAGGAAAGTCTATGAGATTCTTATCACATTTAATCACTAAAAAGTTGAAGGTAGGGCTGTGGCTCAAGTGGTAGAGCACTAGCCTTCAGCAAAATGGCTCAGAGAAAGTAGCTCCCAAGCCCTGTGTTCAAGCCTTGGGACTAGCACTTACCAAAAAAAAAAATTATGCTGTTCATGTTACATACTGTATTAGCTAATCATTGACTCCAGGGAGGTCAAGTGCAA